AAAATAAATTATTAAAAAATAGAATGAAAAAAATTGTAATCCTTGGTTGTCCAGTGCCAGATCTAAAATACACACAGAGGAAACACTGGCCAGACTCAGTAGGTTGTGTTTATGTTAATTCATTTATATGCATATGTAACAATAGCTACAGAGGAGGCATCAAATGCAGGAGGGGGCAGACATGGAGGAGGAGGAGGAGGAAGAGGAGGAAGAAGAGGAGGAGGAAGAGGAGGAGGAGGAGGAGGAAGAGGAGGAAGAAGAGGAGGAGTAAGAGGAGGAGGAGGAAGAGGAGGAGGAGGAGGAGGAGGAGGAAGAGGAGGAGGAGGAGGAGGAGGAGGAAGAGGAGGAGGAGGAGGAAGAGGAGGAGGAGGAGGAAGAGGAGGAGGAGGAGGAGGAGGAGGAGGAGGAGGAGGATATGAGTGGGGAAATGATGTGATTAACATTTTAACTAAAATTTTAAAAGTAATACAAGCATCAGTAATGTCCCTAGAGTCTGGTCCCATCCTTGACCACCCATGAGACACTGCCTACCAGAACACCCAACTGGAAACTAATTAGTGCACATGGCAGGAAACAAAAACAGATGCTAGAGTTCTTATTAATTTTTGTTTAAATTGAAAACAATCTTATTTTACATATCAATCCCAGTTCCCTCTCCCTCCTGTCCTCCCATTCCCCCCACCAATCCCCCATCCCACCCCCTATCCACTCCTCAGAGAAAGTGAGGCCTCCAATGGGGGTGGGGAATCATCAAAGTCTGTCACACATTTGGACAGGACCTAGGCCCTCTCCCGTGCATCTAGGCTGAAAGAGTATCCCTCCAAAGGGAATGGGCTCCCAAAACCCATTTGTGCACTAGGGATAAATACTAGATCCACTGCCAGAGGCCCCATAAACTTCCCAAGCCTCCCAGCTGACACCCATGTTCAGGGGGCCTGGTTCGGTCTTATGCTGGTTCCCCAGCTGTCAATCTGGGGTCCGTGAGCTTCCACTTGCTCAGGTCAGCTGTTTCTGTGGGTTTCCCCAGCCTGGGCTTGACCCCTTTGCTCATCACTCCTCCCTCTCTGCAACTGGATTCCAGGAGTTTGGCTCAGTGCTTAGCTGTGGGTCTCTGCTTCTGCTTCCATCAGCTACTGGGTGAAGGCTCTAGGATGGCATTTATGACAGTCATCAATCTCATTATGCTAGGGTTTGAAGGTGTGTCCCTTACCTCCCAAGGTCATATGCTAGAAATGTAATCATCAACAAAGCAGGATAAACCGGGGATATTTATCTCCCTTTAAGAGGTGAATACGTCGTGAAAGTAGAACCCTTGTAAAAGGATTGCTGCTGTTGTCACAGTAGAGGATTTGTTTAAAAGTGTGTTCATCTCCTCCTCTCCATCAATTCCTGCCACGCTCTCACCTTTCGGGACAGAATGACACAATGGGGAGGCCTTCACCAGGCAATGGCTCCTCTGTGCTGGGCTTTTCAGCCCACAGAACTGCAAGAAATAGATATCCAGCGGTCACAGAAACGCAAGACAAAGACACTTGACCTTCTGCGCCAGGGGAGCGTATATATTCAAGAAATTATGCCATTTTTTAACACGAAGGAAAGCATAAAAAGGTAAAGACAATTCCTCAATTACAGTCTGATTCCAAAAGAGGAAGATGATGGTTTCTGCAGGTTGCAACAATAAACAAGATACAGGGTTGTTCATTTGGGAAGTCAGTATCGGGATGAAATGTTAGCGTGAGAGACTATGTAGGGTAAGCCCAACGTTCTCTGCTTTGTGACCTGAATGTAGGGCAAGATCACTATCAGAAATGAGACTTGTCAGCAGCTGTCACTGTACCGTGCACAGAGGAGGCCAAAGCAGTGGCCACCAGCTCCTTAATCTGACAGCAAAGCCATAATCATGGTACTGAGCTGCAGAAATATCAAATCCCCATGCTAGGCAAGTGAACCAGCAGAGATATCAGATAGAGTCCAGCTGGAGAGAAGCCCCGGGTGGCATGAAGAAGGACTTCAGACATGAGGTACCCGCTCTCCTGGTTGTCTTGCTCTTAATCTTGTCAGTTCAGTTTGGGACATTATACCCCTCGTGATTACGGGTCATGTTGTTTGTCTTGATCTTCCTGTCAGGGATGATTTAAAACGTCAGAAACAACAGCTAAGGTTTCTGGGTGACCTCCTTGCATTCCCAGTGCCAGCACGGCTGCAGCCCCACACAATGGTGACGCCATCACAGTCCTGAGCAGACACTCCCCAAGCCCCTGTCTTGTTCTCAAGGCCTTCTACACCATTCGCTCCCATCTTCAAGACTTCTTTCCCCCAACAAAGCGCCGGGACTGTCCACTTTCTACCAACAAGACTAGTGTGTGCATCTGTCTCGGGGACTGTAAACAGTGCGTTTTCCACTCACCAGCTCCCTTTGCTGGTGGTTTTGCATGATTCCGAGTCTGGATAATTGGTTCGTGTTTTATCTAGAGAATACCAATGAGGCTCTTGACTCTTCCTAACCATGTTTAACTTACACTTAACTATCCCAGCGAGTCTGTCACTATCTAAGAAAAATAAAAGGGTTCTCTAAGAGCCTCAGAATTTTCCCAAGACATGCTATGGTTGTTATCCTTAAATATTATTGTAAGCACTATTAACAGTGAGCTGGCTGCCACGAAGAAACTAAAAGGAACAAAGATAAGTTTACTTGACAACTTAAATAAGACAGAAAACGCTCATATATTTCCCTAAGAAATCAGGGAAAGTACTTTTAAAAACCCAGGAGATTGGCAATTACTTTGCAAGCATGCTTTTAACTGGCACAGAGAGACTTGTGCCTCTCTGATCATGTGTCTACAAGCAACCCAGAAGAAAGTTGTGAGTCCTTTGGCATGTTGTTTGGATGACTTTAGCTCCAAAGAAGCCATTTGTCTAGGAGAGGCTTCCTGTGCTCGGTGTTAACAGTAGCTGTTAGTGGTTTTAAGTGATTGGAACAGCATCACAGGGCTGTGAACTGGCCTGTTCCACAGCATGGAACTACGCAGGTACTTTTCCTGCAGGAAAGGCTGAGTCTCCACAGGACACATGGCAACACCAGAAGGCCGTAGGATACATGGCTGAGCACAGCAGACTTCTCTGTCTTTGTAGGGCTTACAGTCAGTGGCCTGGACATCCTTACAGTGTGATTACGAGTACAACTAGATTTGTCCTGGAAACAAAGCCCTGTGAAGCTTCTGGCAAGGACTTGACCTAGACTCTAGGCTGAAGTCACCAGAGATGCCTCTTCTGAAAATAAAGTAATTAAACAATGGTGTCAGAGGTGATGGGAAAAGAATGACCGGTTGGTAGCCCATGGGCTGTAGAGGTCCCACAGCATAGGAAGGATAACACTTGTAAAGACATACTCACGCTTACTATGGTCATAATTCAAGCAAGACTGACCAGACTTGGATATAGCCAAGCAAGCAGCAGGGTCTTGTGGCTCATGTGGACAATTCTAACTTTATTGTGGAATCAATAGCAAATCAGAGCAGGAGTACTAAATAATTGACCTTGGGGGGTCCAGTAACAATGAAAAATAGAGCAAAGCCTGTAGTTTTTAAAGCATGCTCACCTATGGCTGGTACTGAATAGGCTTCTTTTAATATAGTTTCAACTCATGAATGTCTTTTTGCAAAAGAATTCTAAAACTGTCGTGTGAAGCCTTTACCCTTTTACTATCCATCTGAAATCTCAGCCCTTGACCGCTGAGCGAGGCAATGTGGGGCTGTCTCTGGCTGTGTTTGGGCTCAACAGACAATAGAGTCCTCTGTGTGCTACATCCCCGGCCTCGGCTATTTCCTTCAGATAGCCATGACTTTGCAAGTCAGAATTCAACAGCGGACATCATGGAGTGAACAAGAGGGGAGAGGCAGGTAGGTCTGTGGGGAAAGCAACAGTTAAGGCCCAATGTGAAAGTTTGTGTCTGCCCTCCCCAGCATCTCTCTAAAACCTCAAGTCATTTTCAAAATACGTAGGCCAACATGGAGTTTCCAAATGCGAGTTTGAAGTTCTCATGCTGAGCCACGCCCAGACCCCTAGGGATTCCTCGGCATCTTGAGGCCCACTTCAGCTTGGAGAGAGGTCTGGTTTCCATCCTTGCCTCCTGCTATCTCCTCAGACCCATCATAAGGACCATGTTTCCTCTGCTGCCAACATAGTGTGGTGGTTTGAACAAGAATGGATCCAATAGACTCGTACATGAAAGCTTAGTCTGAAATTGGTGAAACTATTTGGAAGGATTCGGAGGTGTGGCTTGTGTGTAGCACTAGGGGTGGGCTCTGAGGAACATGCCATTTCCAGTTAACTTTCTCCCTGTCCTCCTCCCTCTTCCCCTCACTCACCCTCTCCCTCTCTGTCTCCATCTCCCTCTCCGTCTCCTTCTCCATCTGCCTTTCTCTCTCTCCTCTCCATTTCTCCCTTCCCCCTTTCTCCCTTCTGCTTTCTCTCCCTCTCTCTCCCCCTGCCTCTTCCTATCCCTCTCTCCCTCTCCAACTCATTCTCCCTCATTCCCCCTCCTCCTTCCTCTCTCCATACATGCAGGCATGTGTGCGTGTGTTCATGCGTGCGTGTGTGTGTGTGCATGTTCATGCGTGCATGTGTGCATGTGTGTGTGCTGTGGGCTCCTCCTGCCTGTGACTCAGATGTAAGCTTTCACTACTGCTCCAGTGCCATGCCTGCCTGTGTGCTGCCATGATGATCATAAACTCTATACCCTCTGAAGAACCATGAACACCCAAATTAAATACTTTTTTAATAACTTGTCTTGGTCATGGTGTCTCTTCATAACAACTGAAAAGTAACCAAGACACATACCCTGATGCTGCCTGTTCCCACGGACTCCTTCCACCAGCCAGAAATTGCTTCTCCCTTGCCCATCACCTATTTTTCCCTTTTCTATTTCCTTTCATGTTTATTGATTCCTTTATGGAAGGAAAATTGAATAAAATGAAAATTTATGAAGAAATTACACACTATAATATTATTATCTCAAGGAGAACATCCTACAAGGCAACTCCATTACACGGAAGGATGAATTCTCAAGAGAAATAAGGTAGGACAATCTTTCAAGGTATTTAAAAATAAGCTGGACAAGTTACCAAGGATGTACTGGCTGGAAAGCTCCGAATTCAGACATGTTAGAATGAGGAAAATGATCATTGCTATTTTTTTAATTTTATGATCTTTTTTTTTCTCTCCTCATCTCACTCCTCTCAAACTGAATTCTTTAACTTGTGATGAAATCACACAGAAATTCATTGCTTTGCTGTGTCCAAATCCATCAGAAAGTAGCATCAAGGGAACGGACTAGTATAGTGTATTTCCTTCAGCTGTCAAGAAATATCCTAGGCCAGGCATGAGGGCACACACCTTTAATGCCAGCACTCGGGAGTTAGAGGCAGGTGGATGTCTATGAGTTCAAGGCCAGCCTGATTGACATAGCAAGTCCCAGACCAGCCAGGGCCGCATAGTGAGGCCCTCTTTCAAAAAGAAATTCATAATGTATAAGCACCGTCACACGGGCGAATCACTGTCTTTACCGCCAAGTGCTTCAGGGGCTAAGGAATGGCCTGCAGTGTTCTACTCTGGCATCGTCGACGCAACATATGCTTGACTTTACTCTAAATGCCGACGGAAAACCTACCAGTTGTGCCTCATTCACAGAGCACTTGAACTTCATAAGCTCATTCACAATAATCCACGGTTTGGCTCTTCAGTTTGGGCATGATTAAGTGCATTTTACAGAGTTTCTGAAGCCCAAGACAGGGGGAGAATCTTCTCAGGGGCACACAATCCAAGATCTGTCTCCAAACCCCTGGGTTCTTCATTTCCAACAACCTTCCTCCTTGGGGCTTTTAAGTCTTGCATGCTGAATGTGAATCTAAAATGTCAGGAAAAAAAAAAAACTTCACGCTCAAGGAGAGACAATGGATTAATAAAAACAGTAGTTTAATCAGCCCAGATGAAACAGATTCATGTCTGCTTCCAAGAATTTTTCATTCAGAGGGAACCAATCAAGGAAATTAATTTGGACTTTATGTCCCCAGGTTGAAGGAATTAAGCATTCACCTGGTCACTCAAAACCTCGGTCCATTCTTCCTGCTCTTTCTGCAGCGTGCCCTTCCTCTGACCTCCGAATCTGACTCCATCGGCTCCAGCAGGTCAGAGCATCTACAGGGCTTCCCTGGACCTGCAAAAGGCAGTGTTTTAGAGCATTGTCATCTCACTTTTGCTTATATTGAACACACAGAAGATGCATCAGATTCTAGAAGCAGCTCAAATGGGAGCCCTCTGCCTCCTGCAGATAACAAGTTCTCATGACCAGTCCCAAGGACCATCAAAAACTGAAGAAAAGTGACTTTAGATGTGCTAAGGAGTGTAAAATCCAACTCCGAATATCATAGAACCAATAGCTTCATACAGGAGGCCTCAACAAAAGGCATAACAAGACCCACCTCCACCCATTTGAGATAGGAAGAGAAGGACCCAAACTTCCCTAAGGTTACTGGGAGTTAAGCACTGATAAATACTATTAAGAATGAGATTATTATTACAAACATCCTTTAGTTTTATTTTTCTTTGAATAAACTATACTATATGGGAAGGCTGGTTTGACTCTTTGGCATCTACCAGACCCTTACCTTGTGCCCATGTTACTTAAGGGTTTTCTATTAGCCCGGAAGACCACTTGTTTAACAACTAGTCAGAATGTCATTATGGTATCCCTCCTGAACATTCCACAAACACCTTGAGGAAACTATACTCCAACCACTGATAGACTACAATCCAGGCTGCTGCAGATATCATTCATTTCTACTTGATGAGTCCTGCCTCCAGTCAACCCTGTTCCAGTCTATACCAGTGTCAGAAAGCTTTACTTCAGCTATGACTTTCCAATGACCCTTTCTGAAGCTGCTCCAAGAAAGCATCTACCCATCACACACACACACACACAGAGAGAGAGGGGGGAGGGAGGGAGGGAGGGAGGGAGGGAGGGAGGGAGGGAGGGAGGGAGGGAGGGAGGGAGGGAGGGAGGGAGGGCTCATCTGCTATAATAACAGGTCTCAACAAGATTTGGGAGGAAAAAAGATACCTCCCCTATGACTCAGCACAAAGTATGTAATTGATGCAAAGTAGACTGTCCCTGTGCAAGGCTTGTGATTGGCCCTTATACAAAGCATACGATTGGTAAGAATTGGAAATTGAGGATGTCCAAGGCTATGATTGGTGGAAGAGCAGCCAAAATACAATCATGCCACACTCACTTGTGGGCAGCTTATGGTCTTATGATGTAAAGAACAGGTTTTTACCAGTCGTAAAAAAATCACCCAAGATCCTGGGGCTTGGAGACTCAACAGTGGCAGTAAGAAGGTAAGCCCAAAGTCACCAAGAGCTGAGGACCCTGACAACTGAGACGCCAAGCTGTGACAGAGAGATGGCAACTGAATACTTCTCCTTTTTTCTTTCAGAAACAATCTTATTTTGCATATCAATCTCCCATTCCCGCGCCCTCCCATCCTCCCATACCCCTACCAACCCCCCAACCCATCCCCCACCCACTCCCCAAGGATAGTGAGGCCTTCTGCGGGGGATCATCAAAGTCTATCACACCATTTTGGGGAGGGCCTAGGCCCTCCCCCATGTATCTGGGCTGCAACAGAGTCCCTCCATAGGGAATGGGCTCCTAAAGTCTATAAAGATCTGGTTCTTGGTCCTATGACCACAGAAAAAAGATTCCTGTCAATAAAATAGAAAAATTGCAAGATACCGGCATCACATGTCACATGCCTTTAATCCCAGCACTCAGGAGGCCAGCCTGGTCTACACAGCTAGTCCCAGGGCAGCCAGGGCTACATACTGAAATGTTCACATCAAGGCTGGGCAAGGAGGAAAAGAGTCCTAAGAGCGGGCAAAAGAGTCAGAAACATTTCCTTTTCCACTTTTAGGAGTCCCACAAAAAACACCAAACTAAACAACTATAGCAGGGATGCTGAGGGCCTAACTCACATTCATACAGGTTCTATGATTGATGCTTCCGTCTCTGTGAGCCTCTATGAGCCCTGCTTAGTTGATTCTATGACCCATGTTCTCATGGTGTCCTCAACACCTCTGGCTCCTACAATCCTTGTGGGGTTCCCTGGTTCCACCTGGTGTCTAGCTGTGGGTCTCTGTTTCTGCTCCCATCAGCTGCTGGAGGAAGCCTCTCTGATGATGACTGGGCTAGGCATCAATACGTGTATAGCAGAGTGTATATTCGACCAGTCGGATTTAGTTCTACACTTGGTCTCTCTGGGCCATTCAGCTTCTGGCTTCTGCGCATGCAGGCAGTGTTGGGCATGGTCTCCCTCTTGCGGCATGGGCCTTAAGTTAGACCAGTCACTGGTTAGCCACTCCAGCAAGCTCTAAGGCAACATTGCCCTGGCACAGCTTGTAGACAGGATAGATTGTAGGCTGAAGATTTTGTGGTTTGGGTGGTGTCCCAGTGCCAATACTAGAAGCCTTTTCTGGTTACAGAAGATGACTGTTTCAGGCTCTGTATCCTCCATTACTAGGAGTCCTTGCTAGGGTCACCCTCACGGGTTCCAGGAAATTTTTACTACACTAGGTTTCCACCTTGCCCACCAAATGCCTCCCAGCTCCAGCCACCCCTCCCCATACTGTCTCCCTCCTTCCCTCCCTCTCCCACCTGATCCCTCCTGTCCCCATCCTCACCTGTCCCCATCCCACTCACAAAAATCTACTCGATTGTTTCTTTTGATATGAGTCCCTTGGAACCCGGTCAGGCCTCCAACTCTGTATGGAGTCTAAGAGGGTCTTCAACTCCTGATCCTGCTACCCCACCTCATGAGTATTAAATTATAGGCATGTGACACTACCCTCATTTTTAGTCCTGGGGACCAAAACCAGGCCCCCATGCATGTTGACAAGTACTCTACCAACACAGCCTCAAGATCCCTTTTGATTCTTTCAAAACCAATATACTTGGTATGTTAATTACATCTCCAAAAATCCCATCATACTAAGATAGGCACAGTGTTATACTCCGAGCCCTCAGGAGGCTGAGAAAGAAGGAATACCAGCTTGAGGCCAGCTTGGCTCTGTAACAAGACCCTGTGTCAAAAGAAGCCCTTTCATTTTTGCCAAGCTCTTTTGACTAGAAACGAGTTATGAAGTTTCATGGATGAAGGCCTTTATCCATGAAAGAGGGCACAGAAAGGCATCGGTCATGACGTTCACCTTGGGATGCATCCAAGACAGGCAGGGCAGAACCTGAGTTTTCAGTCAATGCTGGTAAGTACTATACTTTCATTTAAGGCGTATTATTTTATCAATTTTCATTAAGTTGAAGTGCTTTCATTTAGCCATTATTACTGTGCCAATTTTACTATCTTTATGACAAGAACCTCCATCACATAGTTATTGCCAGATAATTTTCAATTAGATGTCAGCAGCTAATTGGGTTAGATTTGGACACACACTGGTTTCTGTTCTTATTTAATATGAAGACCCAAATTTCTAAGTGAACCAAAGGTGTCCTCAGGCGGCTATACTTCGTGGCACTGATGTGTTCTTTAATCTTGGAAAAGGCAAATCTTAGGATCTGAAGCCATTGTGCCTGAGATGAGAATGACTGGGTCTCCCACAATAGACCACACTGCCCTAGTTTGTAATTTAAAACAAAGTACTTTTCCCCCAGTCCTCTTTGGAAAAGTCTCTCTTCCCCATTACTGCGTAAACGATGACAGATGGTCATGGGGTCAGGTGACTAGAAGTGAGCATAAGATTCATGTTCCAAGACAATTTCCTCACTTTCACTTTTAATTTGGGTGTCTAGCTATCTGTCCATCCAGAGTTTCGTGGAAATGGAAACCATTTCTACTACACATGGCCACAGAGGGAGCCATCAAGTCCATCTTTGGGGTCCTGAAGAGAGATGAAAGTTTTAACAGAAAGTGTTTCAGCCGGGCATTGGTGACGTGCCTTTAATCCCAGCATTCTCGAGGCCAGCCTGGTCTACAGAGTGAGTTCCAGGACAGCCTCCAAAGCAATACAGAGAAACCCTGTCTCAAAAAAACCAAAAATAAGTGTTTCAGACACGTCCCCCAAACAATTTCTGGTGTGCCAAATAGAGAACGTTCTAGTTGCTTTCTAGTGCTGTGATAAACACCATCACCAAAAGCAGCTTGGGGAGGAACGGGTTTATTTCATAACTTACAGCCCACCATTGAGAGATGTCAAGGCAGGAACCTGGGGGCAGGAACTGGAGCAGAGGCCACAGAGGAGTGCTGACTACTGGCTTGTATTCCCTGGCTAATTTAGCTACCTTCCTTATTTAGCCCAGGCTGTGCTGAGATCCTGTCCTCGGAAGTTGTCACACAGTTTGCACTGATGTGTTTCAACAATGGTTTTGCCTTCTGGCTTCACAGTATAGTCACCTAGGACTTTTAAATGTATTTATTTCAATGATGAGAGAATGATAAATTCTGACAATGTTCTGAGATACCTGTGGTGTTAACACCAACAGTGACTTTGATTTATATAAGCCACTACATTCCTTTTGGCTTGGGATAATTGGAGCAATAGTAAGGTTGTCTTTTTTTATTCTATTACTTGCAACAGTAACTTCCATAACTAATACATTGCCAGAGGCAAATTCAGATCATAAGTCTAGTTTCAACTAGCTTGATTTCCACAGTAACATAGATCAATTAAAGTTATGGATTTTTAAATACTGGGGAAAGAGTTCATTGATTTCTTACTCCAATATGCTCAGTTTATGGATTGGATAACTTAGCATCTACAATGGATTGGAAAAGGACAAACTAATTGGTTGCAAGATGTGTAGCAAGGTCACATTTCTTGACTTGAAGTCTGAGTAATTTTTGCACTACTCCATGCCTCTTCAGTAATGTAGTAATAATCTGTTAGTGATTTTTGATAAATGACCATGGGCTCAGAGTTATGGGATCTTCTTTGTAGATAAATCTGTCAATAAATATCAGCTGTTCAACTATTTATTTACCATGCTCTATTGCTATGACCTTTATATGTAGAAGAAATTATAAGAGTAGAAGGTGTTGCTCCCATTTTCAAAGAGTTTATAAACATCCAGTCACAGAAGTGCAAAAGCATCTACTGAACATCTATTGTACATTTTCCATCTCAGCTGAAGACAGAAAAGGAGAACCT